TTTTTTTTTTTTTTTTTACCTTAAGACAACCTTTGTCTTCCTTTAATATCAAAAAAGACAAGGAAGTGGATCGCAAATTGCCCCAAATTAGCACCTTTGGTCCTTTTTTTTACCAAGTGTGTGATAAACGAGGTGGTTATCAACCTCTTTCGCTTTCAAAATAGCCACTTTTAAAAAAATGTAATACTGTGTGTTAGTTATATCATTGGCCAACTTCCACAGACCAAGAAAAAATAATTCTTTCAGGTCAATCTCAAGTGGATAATATCTTCAGCTGTTATCAAGATGCCTAGCTTTCTCTTTCTTTCATTGGCTGTCAGGGGAAATCCCTTCCTTGGTTATTCAAGGGACCCAATACACTGATGGCTGTCTCTCCAAATCTGAGACACTGGCGGCTCCGAGGACCGGCCCAGGCCAAAGGCGGACCATGCTGCCCTAGTGGCTGGTGTGTTCTTTTCTAAGCTCCCCACTTTTGAAAAACGTGTCCTAGTAATCTCCAAGACAGTTGGCTTTCTCCCACGGTCTATCCCTCGTCTCACATTAGGGACAAGACGGGTCTCAGCCTTGTAAAGACTGGGTCTGAACAAGAGATTCCCAAAGCTGCTGGGGAGGAACAGAGCCCTACCTGCCTCCAAAGAGAGAAAGAGGGGAAAGGAGGGGGCCCTGAGAGAGCGCTCCTCTTTAAGCAGGTGATTCGTTGCTGGGGGCATATAACGTTTACCCTGCATTTAGTGGCCACCGCAGGAAATTTGTACTATCTTGGTCTACACCCCGAGCAGTAGTTAGGTCTGCGTGCAACGGGAACGTACCTGTCGCAGCCACCCCTCAATCCCCACCTACCCTCTGCCTGGGGTTGGCTCAGCGAGCAAACAGGAGACTGTCTGGGCCTGGGGAAGCCGGTGGCACATCCACAGAGGACGTTTGCTTGTCTGCCACCAGGAAGGCTGCTGGAGGGGCCATTCCCGTTGTTGAACCAGCAGTGCGGGCAGGCACCTAGCGTGTGCCCAGCCCTGGGGTAGGCATGTTACCTGGCCTCCGATCCCATTTTACAGATGAAGAAACCGAGTCCTCAGAGTGCTTACATCATTTGCCCCGGGTTGGTGAGTGACATTTCTGTCTCTGAGCTCATGAATTTCCACCACTGTTTTTCCCACTTTGAAAACTGGCATGGGAAGAAAGCCAACAGGATCCCAGATTCATTTGGGGGCGGGCTGGAAAGTAATCTTTTAAAATAAATGCGGTTGGAGCATTCTCCGCACATGGGAGCTGGTCCTGAAAACCACTGTCTCCCTCTTGGGGAAGCGAATGAGGCCAGAGCTTTTGGGGGGGGGGTGGCTGAACGCCGGTTTCCTCCACCCTTTATGCCGTCACCAGTGCCACGTGTGGCAGACAGGCGCGGTCGCCCAGCTTTCCAGCCTGTCACGAAGCGACTCCCGTTGCCAGCAGGAGAGCGTGGAATCCCTACTTCCGAGCAGAAAAAGGAGAAGTTTGCCCAAAGCGTGAGGATCCTTTTTCCGCTCGCCACCCACCGCCACCGTTCGCAGTCCTGCCCCCTCCCCTCGTGCAAACATGACCCACCTTCGTAGTTTGGCACGAGGCTGTGCCGAGCAGCGTTCACCGGCGGCTCAGAAAGGTTTTTAGCTGGAGACTGGCCGCTAGGCACTAGGGGGTTGGCATAATGCCACTGGCATTCGCCACCGGCTGGCAGTGTGCTCAGGAAAAAGCGTGCCACCTCGCACGGGGATCCTCGGGGCTGCCCGAACTTGGCCGGCAACATTGGCTTTTTGCTGCTGAAGACGTGAGAGTCCAGAGGGAAGTGTCCGTAATGGTAGGAGAAAGGCAGGCTGTAGGACGGGGCGTACAAAAGGTCGCTGCTTTCCGAATGGAGCTGCTGTTCCGGGGGCGCCGGGGCGTTCGCTGGGGGGCTGGCTCTCCAGTTTCCCAGCTGGCCGCATTCCAGTTTGTCCATTTGGAACGAGCTGTACTGCTGCACGGCAAAGGAGACGGACGACAGGGCCGGTGAGGAAGTCCCCTCCGGCCTCGCCGGATCCCGCCCTGGAGTCAGCCTGACCGCATCCCTGGGCTGGGCCCACCCCCGGCCACCGCAGGGAGGTCCCACTGGGGACAGGTGTGCAGCAAGCAGTGCCACAGAGACGCCTCCCCCCGCCCCCGCCCCCCACCCGGGGTGGGAGGCGGTCTCAGCCCAAGTGGAAAACATACCAGATACATGCAGCCACTTTCTGAGAGGTTACAAAGTATTAAAACAAAAAAAGGTTTTCGTTTTAAAAAATGCTATGGAAACACGCTGCGCACGAAGGCGGATTCCAGCAAGCTGATGTGCCTTCCCAATTTAGCCTTCTTTTTCCAGCCCTGCTGAGCCTTCCCAGATGTTAGCTCCGTGTGCCTCAGGCCGTGTCTCTACTGTGTGCGCAGGACATCCCCCCAGGGCCTCTGCTGCACTCCTCGGGGAAACTTCCAGGCCCGAGACCCGAGACCCGCTATGCACTGAGGCTCATTGTTCCTTAACAGGCTGGGTGTCCTGAGCCCCCAGCAGGGGGTGTGTGTTACCTGTGGCGGGTACGGGTTCGTTCTCAGCTTCGTCTTCATCTTTGTATTTTTGGGTTTCGCTAATTTCCTAGTTTCTTGTGAGGTAGACAAGGCGGTCCTCCAGGAGTCCTGGGACTTGGATGTGGACACCTGGTCCAGGGACAGCTGCAGTTCCTTGTATTCGATATCCCTGAGAAGCAAGAGCAGGACAAGTCACGTCCAGTGGGCCGCCAGGGGGGCAGAGCGGCTTCCCTGCCCCTCCCCCAACCCCCCGCCCCCAACCCGCAAGTTCGTTCCCCAAGCTCCAGCGAATCGGTCCACTGAGGTTGCAGGGCCCGGGACTTGAGCAAAGGGCGCCCACCTTCATCGCCAAAGGCCCCCTGCAGCCCTGGGCAGTGCCGAGAGAGGTCAGCATTATCCAGCCAGAAGATTTGGAGGTAGCTGTCTCCAGTCCTGTAGGTCCCAAAGGTCCCCCAGGGACACCATGGGCCACCAGGAAGCGTGTCGGGGCCAAAGCAAGGGCAGGAGCAGTACTCATCGCCTTGAGTGTCTGTGGCCCGGCTGTTTCTCCATTTAGCACCCAGGGAGGCGCGAGTGGGGGACTTTCAAGGGTCCAGGAGCCTGGCTGCCAGCCTTGCCTCTCTCCACATCAGGCGCCCATTTCGGCCTAAAGAGCCGGCTTGGCACAGTTGTGTTCGTGGGAGGGGAAGTCGCCTAAAGTACCAGCCCACGCTTGTCTGCTCAGGAAGAGTCATTAGGGGGCTAAAATGCTCTCTTCCCTGCAGTTTTGCCAAAATCACACTCCTAAAAAAATAATAATAAAACAAAACCCAAGAAACCAGGGACCGGGCAGTCATTCTATGAAAGGAGTGAGAGCCTAAATCCAGGAGTGAGTTCAAATCCTTGAACACACAGGAGGACCTTGTTCAAGGTGGGGCTGGGGTACAGCAAAGGTGTCAAGTTCAGGGACAGAGCTGGGTGCAGGTGACTTAACATACAGTAGCCACCGTGGGTCCACAGTAATATACGGTCCCAGGGAGACTTATGTCCTGTTGTGTGTCTAATGGTCCTAAAAGAATTTGCAACTGAACTTGGCCTCCTGAGATTTTAAAGAGACCAAACATTCATCATCATTTGCAACAGGCTATATAGAAATACGGGGGAAATGTGAGAGATCCCCGTCCCAGATGGTGGGAGCACGCAAGACGGCCCTGATGTTTGTGGGCACAAGGAGCTAAGTTCCTATTCCTGATCTGGACGCGTCTCCTGTCCCTCCTGTGCAAGATGGGGGGCATCTCCCACCTTCCCCCCACCCCGGCGCCCCTCAGCTGGTCCCTCGGATCTGATCTTCAGCTGTGCCTGGGGCAGGGCTCCCTTCGTGGTAATTCCCACCGCAGCCCAGCACCTGGCCCTCGGTGCCGAGTTCAGAAATAGTTTGGACCTTCCCGAACCACCAGATTGTTCAAATATAAACAAAACAGGAGACAAATGAACAGTTTCAGAGAGAGAGAGAGAGAGAGACAGAGACAGGGCTTGCGGCTTGTGACAGCGGGCTGATGAGGGGCAGGGGAGAGGAGAGAGCAAGGAAACAAATACGTCGGACTTACGTGAGGACATAATTGACACTCACGATGCAGTGCGGCCGGGACGAGCGGCTGTTGTGCACGACGGTGGCGTAACTCTGCACCCACACCCAGCCGCCCAGCTTGGACAGCAGCCGATAGTACTTGGTGGTGACCTGGCCCTTCACCAGCACTGCAAACACAAGGTGACATGAATCCCGAGGGACAATTAGCAGGCTCTGCTTGGGGGGCTCTGCCCCCACCGATGACCTCAGCCCCAGTTCTGGACCTTTCTGGGGTCAAGGACACCTTTGGGAACTCGACAAAGAGATGGGCTTTCTCTACAGGAAGGTGCATGCTTGGGTGCGCACACGCACAAACGCACGCACACACGCAAGATTTTTTGCCTATAATTTCAAGAGGTCCAAGGCGCGTTCTCTCCCCTCCCCTGTTGAGAACTCAAATTTAATAGTCATTGATTTCACTGGGAGAAACAATTAGTCCCCATAAAACATTTGCATCTGGCAGAGTGATAAAATTGGTTTGGCTTTTCAGTTTCCAAAATGCCACGATGATGTGATAATCCCTCAAACCCTTAATCCCCACACCCTCGATAGGTGGCGGCAGCAGAAGCAGGGAGTGATGTAGTTGTTTAAACAAAATAATAAGTACATTCAACCAAGCTTCAAATTGTTGTTAGTATTTACTACTCTCCAGAACATGTGTGTATTCACCTTGAGACTGTTTGCTACTCTGTTGCCATCTATATTTTCTTCCCATCAGCCCCACTTTTCATCAGGCCTATTAATTTCCTACTGTTGCTCATGTAGGAAGGACCTCTGCTTGGCTATTTAGTTTCTGAAAACTGGGCCTCTGGGCCCATCTTCTACGCATGGGTGCAAACTCCAGACTGCTGAGCCATACTCACTTCCAAAGCCTCTGTACTAATTTCCCTCAGGGCCTGGAGGGCACAGGCTGGCGAGAAAGGAAAGTGCCAGAAGCACTGGGTGGGCAGGAGAGAAGAGAAAGGCCCAGTTATCCTTCTCCAAGGAGGGGAAGGCCAGCACAAATCTAAAAGGCATCCCTTGATGCCGAGGTCATGGCTACAGGGCATTCCTGTTTCTCAAATCAGGGCTGGCCCCAGGGCCCTACTAACAGCCACCTGAGCAGGGGTTTGGGGAGGTGGCCAAATTCTGTGACTGCACTAGCTGGCACTGAAGGAACCCCTTGGAGGCTCACAGACACAGAAATTCAGCCCCCATCTTATGCCACTAGGCAGAGCCCCCGCGCTGTCTGCCCAAACCCTCCCGAGGCTCTCCATGGCCTTCTGTGACTTCTTTCCACATTAAGAGTGCCTCTTTATCATCCACTTTAACACCTGCAGCAAAATATTCTGGTGCAGAAGAAAAATTACTGCAAAAATGATAGTCGAGGAGTAGTTAGCCTTAATATGTAAAGAGTTCATCCACATCGATAAAAACATTAAGACCTAGAAGTAATATGAGGAAAGGACTGGAACAAACAATTCACCAAAGATTAAATATAAATGATGATCAAATGTTCAATGTATTTGCTTAACTCAGAGCTAGATCCCATCCATTAAATCAGCAGACAGTAAAAAAGAAACAAATATTGCATGGTTCCATTTATGTGAAATGTCCAGAATAGGCACATCCATAAAAACCAAAGGCAGATTAGTGGTTGACAGGAGCTGGGGGATGAGGGGAGCCAGGAGTGACCGCTGATGGGTACCAGGGTTCTTCTGGGGGTGAAGAAAATGTTCTGGGACTCAGTAAAGGTAATAGTTGCATGACATTATAAATATACTAAGAACCTCTGAAAACTGTTAAGATGGTCAGTTTTATATTATATGAATTGTATCTCAAGGGAAATAAAATAACAACAATGATGTCAGCTCATCTATGGGGACAGGCATTGTCACGTGCTGATAGAAGCATGGACTCGTACCGTCCTGGAAAGCAGTTTGACAGTTCACATCCACTGACACAGTGGCTTCACTTCCAATCATTGATCCTATTACAAGCAGTCCTGCTTATAATTCAGGGGGAAAAGGAAGGGGACGCTTCATTGCCCATGAATTAGGGAAGATGAAATAAACTTTGGAATACTATGCCGCTATTGAAATAATGATTAATAAGAATTTGAAATATTATGGAGAACGTGTATGATATAATGTTAAATGAGAAAAAAAGACAGGATTCAATATCACAGAAATACAGAGATAATAACAGACTACTATGAACAATCATAGTATGTTAACTAGAATTTAAATAAAAATTTGGAAATAATTGTAGCACACTTTAAGAAAAACAATTATATGCCAACAAATTGAGCAACTTACAAGAAAACAGATACTTTGCTAGAAATATACAACCTATGAAGACTGAGTGATGGAGAAATAGAAAATCTGAACAGACTAATAACTGGTAAGGAGTCATCAAAAACCTCACAATAAACAGAAGTCCGGGACCAGATGGCTTCCTTCACTGGTGAATTCCACCACACATTTAAATAAGAATTAATACCAATCCTTTTCAAACTCTTTGGAAAATTAGAAGAGGAAAGAACACTTCCAAACACATGTATGAGGTCAGCATGACCTTGATACCAAAACCAGACAAGGACACTGCAAGAAAAGGAAAATTACAGGTTAATATCTCTGATGAGCGTAGATGTAAAAATCCTTAACAAAATAGTAACAGATTGAATTTAACAATACATTAAAGGGATCATGCGGTGTGATCAAATGGGATCTATTCCTGGGATGCAACGATGGTTCAACATCTACAAATCAATCAATAGGATACACCACATGAACAAAGTGAACAATGAAAATGGATAAAGAAAAATCATTCGACAAAATTCAATAGCCATCTATGATAAAAACTCTCAACAAAGTGCATATAGAAGGGATGCACTTCAACATAATAAAGGCCATCCATGACAAGTCCACAGCTAACATACTCAACAGGAGAAAGCTGAAAGCTTTTCCTCTAAGGTCAGGAACAAGTCAAGGATGCCCACGTTTGCCACTTTTATGTGACACAGAATCAGAAGTCCTAGCCAGAACACTTAAGCAAGAAAAAGAAATAAAAGACAACCACATTGGAAAGGAAGAGGTAAAACTGTCATTATTTTCAGATGGCATATTATAGATAGAAAACCCTAAAGACTCCATCAGAAGACTCTTAGAATAAGAGAATTCTGTAAGGGTCAAGAATACAAGATAAGTACACAAGAATCTGCTGAGTTTCTACACATTCCTAATGAACTATCAGAAAGAGAAATTAGGAAAACAATCCCATTTACAATTGCATCAAAAATAATGAAATAGCTAAGAATAAATTTAACCAAGGAGGTGAAAGACAAGACACTAAAAACTATAAGACATCAATGAAAGAAACTGAAGGAGACACATATTAATGCAAAGACAGACACTCCATGTTCATGGAGGGGAAGAATTAATATAAAGTGTCCATACTACCCAGAGGCATCTACAGATTTAATGCAATACCCATCAACATTCCAGTATCATCCTTCACAGAAATAGACCAAACGATCCTAAAATTTGTATGGAACCACAAAATAATCCTTAAAAGATCAAAAGCAAAAATAACAAGTAGCATTACATCAAACTAAAAAGCTTCTGCACAGCAAAGGAAACCACCAACAACATGAAAAGACAACCTACCGAATGGGAGACAGTATTTGCAAATTACGTACCTGATACGGGGTTAACATCCAACATATACGAAGAACACATACAATTCAGTAGCAATAAACAAACAAACAAACAAGTAAATAAAATAGTCCAACTACAAAATGGGCAGAAGGTCTGAATCGACATTTTCCCAAAGAAGACATAACATACAGACGGCCAACAGGTACATGAAAAAGTTCACTGCATCACTTATCATCAGGGAAATGCAGATCAAAATCACATGAGGTTTCACCTCACACCTGTCAGAATAACTATTATCAAGAAGACAAGAAATAACAAGTGTTGGCAAGGATGTGGGGAAAAGGGAACCCATGTGTACTATGACTAGGAAGGTACATTGGTGCAGCCACCATGGAAACAGTGAGGAGGTTCCTCAAAAAATTTAAAATAGAACTACCATATGCTCCAGAAATACCACTTCTGGGTATTTCTCTGAAGGAAACAAAAACACTAACTCGGAAAGACCCCTGCGCCCCATGTTCACTGCAGCATTATTTACAATAGCCAAGAAATGGAACCACTCTAAGTGTCCACCCATGGATGAATGGATAAAGAAATCGTGGTATACGTACGTACACACACTCACAAAGGAATATTGTTTGGCCATAAAAAAGAAGGAAATCTTGCCATCTGCTACGACACAGGTGGACCTCGAGGGTATTATGGTAAGTAAAGTAAGTCAGACGAAGACAAATACCCTGGCACCTCACTTACATGTGCAATCTAATTAAAAAAAAATCATAGATACAGAGAACTGATCAGTGGTTGCCAAAGGTGACGGAGGGCAGGTGGGAGAAACGGGTGAAGGAGATGGTCAAGAGGTACAAACTTCCAGCATCGGAGACTTCAGTTAATAACACCGTGTTGTGTATTGAAAGTTGCTAAAGGAATTAGCTCTTCAAAGCTCTCAAGACAAGAAAAAAAATGTATAACTATATATTGTAACTAGATTTATTGTGCTGATCATGGAGGAACGTGTACAAGTATCAAATCACTACGTTGTACATCTGAAACTAATATAGTGTTATATGTCAGTTATAACTCATTAAAAAAAGAGACAAGATTCAGAAGAGCATAGAGTACAGGTAAGAAAAAGTACATGCACACTCACATATACACCCCAACTAACTGCGATCTCGGACACGTTACAAAGCCCCGGTGACTCGGTTTCCCTGTTTGGAACAAGAGCATAATCATACTCCCTACCTCGCATGGTCACAGTGAGGATTAGATCATCTATGGGAAGCTTTAGACTAGTGGTGGCAGTCACACAGCAAAGACTCAATACATATCAACTCTCATTATCTGGTCAAATTACAGGTAATTTTCATTTTCTCCTGTTCCACTTTTCTTGATTTTCTACACTTCCAACACTAAGGAGGTATCGGCTTTATAATAAAAGTGAAAAAAGTATTGGGGCGCCTCGGTGGCTCAGACAGTTGACCGTCCAA